GTGTGATGCTGCTCTGGGAGAGATTAGTGACTTGGACTGGGATAAAATGATTTGGATTTTTATTATATACTGAACCCATATGGTAGAGCTGTATAACATGTATATTATGCTAAAGAACAGAATTTATGAATGCACTTTTCTGGGTCATGAAATTTAAAAATAAAAGTTTAATTTTATTACCTGAGGTATGTTTTAAATATTTAATTGTATTGAACTTTGAATTACATCATAACGGTATCTTCAGACTTAATGCTGTTTTTTTAAGTGGGCATAAATATTTAGTGAAGTCAGAGTCCAACAGATATAATAATAGAGACCTTAGATGTGATATATAACACATCTGAAGGATGTTTGTGTCTACTATGACATAATGTTCCAGAAATTTTATTGGTTTATAAATGTGCATCTAAATACAGGAAGATGGTTGCACTTCTCTAATTCCACTGCATGTTTTTTTATCAGCATCCCGTAACGTGGCAGCCTTCTAAAGAGGGAGATCGCTTAATTGGGCGTGTTATTCTCAACAAGAGAACAACCATGCCAAAAGAATCAGGTGCATTACTGGGGCTAAAAGTAAGTGTTATATGTTTTAAGTGGTAAATGAAAGAAAATTCTGCTGACCTAGAGGTCTAACACCTTAAATCAGAGGACTCTCCAAATTTTCTCTCCATGTATATTTTTAACTATATTGTCCTCCAAATATGAGAGAATTTAATTTGGGTGTCTTCCTCTCCCCAGTGAGAACAGCAACAATGTAGAATATGAAACATTCCCATTCACTGAGGACTGAGTCTAATTCCAAGTCACTGACTCCTTGTATGGAGTCATCTGATAGTTCATTCCCTTGCATGTGATGATGTGGGTTGTTGCTTCTGCTTGTCATGGTGGGAATTAAATCAGGAAAGAACTTTGTGAACTTGTTAATGGCATGTCCTGGGTAAGAGCCATTTATCCACCTTGAACTGAGATAGCGTGGCATGGGAATATAGAAGATATGAACAGCTTCACTCTACTAAATGTCTAGTAGTCTGTAGCACTAAGGCTGATTTTTGCTGGCAGTAAGCAATTTTTATTTGTTTTTTAATATGTGAGAAGAAAGGTTAGTCCTAGTAGGAAATGCAGATTGGAGAACTTCTGTTCAAGTTTTCAAGTTTATTTCTGTATGATATAAATTAAGGCCCCCCTGATAAATTTGACATACTGTCTTGTGACAACATTGTCTATAGGAAGGCTTCTGGATCTTCTCGGATATATATCTGTAGTGAAGCTCCTACTAGTTACTGTGATTGCAGCATGGGCAAATGATACCTAATGGACCAGCATTCCACTGTTTCATTTTATTATAAAATTCCTTCCAGGATATTCCTGACAAAAGAACCCAAACTGACTGGAGAGAGTAAGATAGCTAAAGAGAACATTGAGTCAGCAAACCTGCATTTTCTTAGTTTATATTTTATTAAAACTCTAGTCTCTAGGGGGTATCTTCTCCCCTGCCCCCCAGTTTGCCTGGTCTGTCTAGCATGCAGTCATCTTCAAAAATAGCTCTTCTCAGGTCTGCTTAACAAAAGGCAGAAGTTGCTGTTCTGTCGTGTCATGTGCCTGGAAGAGGAGACCTGGGTTTTAGCAGTAGCAATGAACTTGTGAGCTGTTTGCCCACATTTCTCAGTAGTGTACTTGCTAAGTTTTTAATTGTTGTACCAATTAGATTTGGGGATTTTCATACATTTGATTGGATGTACACTTGCAATCTAAACTTCAGCATGTGACAGACTATTTGCAAAAAGTACATCTTTGTGGTTATTTATTAAGGAACATTCTTTCTGCAACAAATTTAGATAGTTCACAATCTGCATAAGATTGGTTAGTTAAACATTAAAAGGAATATCAATTTCATAGACTCACAGAATGGTTTGGGTTCGAAAGGACCTTAAGATCACGTATTTGTAACCCCCTTGCCTTGGGCAGAGACTCCTTGCACTAAACCATGTCATCCAAGACTCCATCCAAGCTGGCCTTGAACAGTGCCAGGGATGGAGCGTTCACAACTGCCTTGGGCAGCCTGTTCCAGTGCCTCACCACCCTCACAGTAAGGAACTTCTTCCTTATATCTAATCTAAACTTCCCCTGTTTAACTTTGAACCCATTACCTCTTGTTCCATCAGTATAATCCTTGATTAAGTGTCCCTCTCTGGCACCTTTGTAGGCCCCTTCCAGATACTGGAAGGCTGCTATGAGGTCTCCACACAGCCTTCTCTTCTCCGGGCTGAACAGCCCCAGTTTTATTCATTCTGTGTCAGCTTTACTTCTTTTCAAGTAAATCTGGCCTTTTTGTATCTTTAACTTTGTCTTTAAGCCTCTGTGAAGACCAAATGCTCAATAGATATGCTTATGCATGTTTCAGGTTTAATTTTAAACATAATGTAAAAACAGATCTGTCTATATTTTTGTGTTTGATATGATGTCTGGTTTGTGGCTTGGAAACTCACAAATTTATGATTAACCAGGTTGTCGGAGGAAAAATGACAGAATTAGGACGACTCGGTGCCTTCATTACCAAAGTGAAGAAAGGTAGCTTGGCTGATGTGGTGGGGCATCTCAGAGCAGGTAAATCAATCAGTTGCATATAAAATGTATTGTCTTTTAATTATGTCTTTCTGGAATGCAGCTGCTGATTTATATCAACATTGGTCATGTGATATGAGAATATTTTTTAAATACAGGACAATACATAAATGTTATGGAATGCCACGGTTGTTTACATTTCTGATTTATTAGTACCTCCAATTGCTTGGATTTATGAGCAAAATACAAGACACTCCTGATGCTGGTGTCAGGACTGAGTGTCACTGGTAAATTTTTGCTTGGTAGCTCAGGAGCTACTTATTACACTCTGTAGAACCAGTGCAAAGTTTGTTTTAAAACTGTTCCATTATGGCAAACAAAATTCACTACAGTTGCTTTACTTGCACTGTAGTGTCACTGAAACGGTGATGTACTGTGTACACAATGGACCTTATTAGTGCTTCTTTCAATGTGAATTGTTACAAATAAAAATGGTAAACAACCCAAGAAAATTATCTTAAAATATTTCATTTATATAAGATGTCTATATTGCACTTACAAATAAGTGGCTGTGCTGTTACCACTTTTCAAGCTCTTAAATGAAGCAACTACTTTCCAAGTGTTCTCGTAAAAAACAAAGTCTATGCAGTGCTTGCTTAGGAATCTAGAAGCTCCAATGACAACTTGTATGAATTTAGGATAATTGCATGAAGCAAATAGTAATAAAGAAGTAGAAAAGATGGTAAGTTTCTAAAGATACCCTTCTTTGTTATGGCATTTGATAATATTTTTTACCAAGTCAATATAGATGGGGTTAATAACACCAATTATTATAGTTCTTTATAGATTTTCAGTGCAGATTGTAGTTAAAGAAAGTAAGTTTCTCTTCACTTACCTTGAGCTATTTGGGCTGAAATATTACATTTCTAATCTCTGGTCTAGATTGTTTTTTAAGTCAAAGCTATTTTAAATTTCTGTCTTTATAGAAAACTTCAAAGATTTGACTACTTGATAAATCTTTGACTAATTGTACAAACCTTATAGATTTTAACAAAGGCAAATATGAAGTCTTGCATCAGGAACAGAATAGCCCAGTGCAACAGTAAGCACTAGGAGCCAATCATCTAGAAAGCAGCTTGTCAGAAAAGCATCTGGAGATGCTGCAGGACAGTAAGTTGAACATGAGTTGGCAAAACACCCTTGCAGCAAACACCGATCATGTACAACTCTGTATTAGCAGGATTGTGGCCAGCAAGTTGAGAAAAGTGGTTGTTGCTCCCTACTCAGTGCTTATGAGGCTGTATCTGGAGTACTGTGTCCAATTTGGGTTCCTCTAGTACAAGAGAAATACCGACAGACTGGACATGTCCAGTTGGGGTTTACATATGTCAAAGTTTCAAGTGTTTGGATGGTGTTTTCCTGTTTCCATGCCTGTTACTGAGAGCAGAAATCAGAATGCAAGCCTTACAAGCAGCATTATAGATGAAAGAGACAATGTGAAAGGGCTTGGATGGTCAAAAAGATCAAGAGCTGGACAAGCTGAGCAAAATATGGATGGTGATCTGGTTAGAACTAGCAGAAATGACATTTCACTCAAATCCCCATTTGGATCTAGTTTTCAGTAAGAGTAAGTGGAGCCACTTCTGTTAATTTAGCGTTTTGACTATGACGATATTATGTTTAATCATCGTAGCAATTTTTTTTTTCCACTTGTTTGATCTCCTAGTGACTCTCAAAAGAAAAAAAAAAGTCCCCTAAAATAGCAATACAGACACATGTTCCTCTTCAGGATTCTCAATTATGTTGCAGGTATTTTGTCATCTTCAAAATACGACAGATAAATTGCTGTGCAAATTATGTTTAGATTTTTATTGCTACAAATTTAGCATATGTCCCTGTTGGTTTTTGCTATTAAGTTGCAAGTACTGCAAAGCTGGCCACATGTTTTTCCACTTAATGCCTGGGATGCTTCTGAAAATTAAGCCAATTATCTCTCAAGAAAATGGATGTTATTTTAGGGAAAATCAACATGTTTATAACAGTTGTTAGCTTTAAAATACGGTCAGAATGACAGAAGAAACTGTGTGTTTTCACTGAACTGTATAAATTTTAAATGAAGTTCCTAGGCATTATCTAATTCCTGTTCCCCTCCCCGGCACCAGCATAACATATGTAATAAATATATGAAATATTTAAAACCATTTCAGCAAAACAATGTAGTGGAAAATTAAACTTAGGTCAGCTATCATTTATTAAGTCTGTCATTAGCAAGCCCTCATGTTTTAAAGAATGCCGAATTGCTTTGAAAGCCAGTGGAATACCCTGTGGAGTCCTTTCTTAAAATACCAAAATATAGGCTGTTTGGGAAAAAAGGACTAACAATTCTGGAACATAAAGAGAAATTGAAGCTGCGTCTATTGGTAGATAGGACTTTAGTTAGGATAGTTTTCCTTGCCTAATTAACAAGTGTGAGTTTGATCATTTGGCTTAGGTCTCAAAAGAAGCAAGGCCAGCAGCTGAAAGACTGTGGCTGACTGAATCTGATAAACATAAAATCATTGTTTGTATGCTGATAATGAAGAAAATTATTAGTGTTGTCAGGTAGTGGTTGTGAAGTTTTGACTGCTGCATATGATGGGGTATGAGTGTAAACTTCCCCTATGATTCCTGCAGTTTAATTGTATATACTGATCTTTCTTTAGAAACTATACTTAAAGATTTTAATCTTTTTATAATAAGGCCAAAACTCATTTTGATGTACATGCTATTTAAATTCCGGAAATAGCAAGCTGAAACAAGAAAGTTAGTTAGATCTAACTTTCGCGTCATATTTTCCTTTCCCACCCTGAAACATCCTCAGCAAGTAGCGACTTATTCCTTGCTTTTAGTTTTGGTTAGTTTGACACTGACGCTGACAGTGAAGACTATCCTTGTAGAGAAATCAAAACGCACTGTATATAAATTGTAATAAAAGATCATTATTTTTAAGGGCTTAAAAGTAGGTATTGAAGGGGTTTTTTTTAATTTTTGAAGATTAACCTGATTTGAAATTTTATTACTGCTGGTTAATAAAGGATCTTTTAAAAAGACTCTTCCACTTCATAGCACAATAACATGTTCTGTATTATTTTGGAAATACTTGGTATGTTTGCACAAGTGGTTTCTTTAGTATGTGTTGTGTGTACAAATTGTAGCTGTGTTCTGAGAAAGGAGCCTTCATATTCAGCATAGCTTTTAAATTGATTTCGGGCAACGTTACTTCGTTATATAGATTCCGTGAATGTTTTTCTTTGCAATTCTTTGTAAAAGAATCTTTGCAATTTATAAATGCAATTCATTGTAAAAGAATATGGAAATGAGATAAACTTCTCTTTAAATTCAAGGGGATGAAGTTCTAGAATGGAATGGTAAACCCTTGCCTGGAGCTACAAACGAAGAAGTTTACAACATTATTTTAGAATCAAAATCAGAACCTCAAGTTGAAATTATTGTTTCAAGGCCTATTGGGTAAGGCTAAAGACTTGCTTCTTAAGCACAGTTGTTACTTCTAGTAATAGGACTATTTGTGAATTCATTATTTTTTATTTCTTAATAATGAGTATTATTCACTTTCTATTATTGACGTTCTGTATATTCCATTTCTTCACTGCTATTTACAATCTAGCATCTTTGCAGTGTTATTTATAACTATAACTGTTGTTTTCTACATGGTCTAAGTACTAACAAGGTTTTTGCCAAGTGGCAAAGGAGAATTGGTGGACCAAGTGGACTTGTGTGTGAGAAAAATCTGTTTTTCAGCCTTTTGGCTTCATTAAATAAGAATAACTTATACAAGCATTCATGAGTAGAAGGAAGCATCAGTAAACTGATTAAGAAAGGAAAACCAAAACTCTTAATAGAAAAGACTTTATTTAGCCTTAAATGGTACTGTCATCAAAATCAGAAGTGGAAACAAAAAGTTTCATTAAAAATTAGCATTACTGTGCTATGTTTATAGCCTTTATTTTCTTTATTATAAATCCAGGTTTGGGGTTTTGTGATAATAATTCTTGTATTCTTATTCCCAAACAAGTCTTACAGAACTGAATATGAATCATACATTGTAAATTCACAATTATTTGCAGAAACAGAGTCACATGATTAAAAATAAAAGTGACTCTTGGTTAGTTACAAAAAAAACCCCAAAAAAAGGATGTAAGTCTCTGTTCTCTGTAGTTTATCACCTTCCCAGATTTTATGTACACTCACTGTAAGTCTCTAAATACCATTGTCTTGCAGGTATATAGTAAACTCTTTCCTCCTTATGAATGTATGTTTCTTCCATTTTGAATTTGTTAGTTTTCATCCTAATTATCATTTTTATCTCTCTTAAATATGATACTTTTTCAGTTTTAGAAACAAAAGACAATATTAATTTTATTTCTGTCTAAACCATTCTTCTTTCACCTTTATTACCTATCAGCTTTTGATTTATTTTTTCTTTACTGTGCAAACGTAGCTATACTTTGCAAATAAGTTCTACCTTTTTAATGACAACCACTATTAAAAGTTCTTAAATAAAATTAACATTTGATGCTAATCCCAATTATGATTTTCACCTTCTAATGGAAAACAAACACTTGATGCAATAATAGTGGTTTTTAGAGGCTAAAATTACCATTGAGATGGAGACTTTGGGGGAGTAGAAACCATATTTTGCATTCATTATTCAGATAAATTAGGAGACATTCCTGACTGTAAATTGCAAATTCAGTCCTAAGTCTTTTTAATTAAAAATAAAGTGTCATTAGATTTTTGGAAGTCTAGTTTTTATGTTTAAATCAGCAGAAAATGAGTATGTTGATACCGGACCTGACAAACTCCATGTCTCAGTTGAAGAAACCTGAATATTGATTTGTACACCTAATATAAAAGGAAGGAGCTAGATCAGTATTCTAAATAATGAGCTTTAGATATATTAATGGCTTTCAGTATATTTGCATATGTCATATATGCTTCAACTTTTAAGATAAGTTAATTATTAAACCAATTGAATTATCTTAGTTTATGAACTTAATAAATCTAATAGCTTAAAAAAAATGAACTTAATAAATCTAATAGCTTAAAAAAAATGAAGTACAAAGTAAGTACATTTGACTGACACATTCTTGAAGAAAAATGAAGATAAAATACCATGAACTAAGGCATAGAACATTCAAAAGTGCATCCAAAATCAACGAATATTTCTGAATCTGAGCTGTGAATTTTACACTAGAAAAGTGCACCCTGAAGTAGTAAGTAATACCAATAAAATGTAAAGTTTTGCTTTGGATGACCCATGCATATTTCTTCCAGACACAGGCAAAAAATGAAGCACATCAGATTGTGTTTTTATTTTCAGATAAATGGAGTCTTGGCATGAAGGTTTTTACATACTATAGCAGCGCTATTCAAGCTCTAATCAAGACTTGTGTCTTGACTGATTTTGGGTTTTGGCTTTGGTTTTCAGTTGTTTTTTTGTTGTTTTTTTTGGGTTTTTTTGGTTGCTTGGTTGGGGTATTTTATTTTTTTGAGAAGAGCAAATAAATATCCCGAAGTGACTAGAACATATAACTTTGACATTTAAAAATACTTCCTCTTTCTAGCAGTAAGAAGTCAAAGTCCTATGGTTTTGTATCACATTGGGATTTACCTGTCTGTCATCTTAAAAGAAAAAACATATAAGACATCATACAAAGAGAGAAATCCTGATATCCATTAGCAAAAAAAGAACATAGAGCACAGGATTTTCTTTTTCTTCCTTTTTTTTTTCCTCCTTTCTTTAAAAATAATTACTAGCTATGTAAATTGGTTACATAATGGGAAATAGTCTTGCATTAACCGATTACTTTTTTTCCACCCCCAAGCTTCTCCTTGTCTTGTTATCTATACTATGTAAGTGTTTCAAATTCATGATAGGGAATTCTGTTTATTCCAACAAATCTACTATGTCAAAGGTTTGCATCTACTTTAGGCACTGACTCAGCAAAATTGAAGCTGCCTGATACAGCATTAAGTGGTAATCCATTGCACCTAAAATTCTTTTGAGAAATAGGTTCCCGAAAGACCTGAAAAATGATATTTTGTCTGCATAATTTAAGTGTTTTCATCTCTCAGTATTAATAATGCAAGTAATGTACCATCACTTTTAATGGCCTTGGTTTAAAATATACTACCGTATTAGGTGTAAAAAGCCCAAATATGACACGGTTTGGCTTAAGTGAATAAGGGGAGGACAGAGAGACTGCAGATTAGACTGTCCACAGATTAGACTGCCAGTTACAAAATTGATGTCTAAACAATTTGCTAAGTCGTGTAAATTTAGATTTCTGTGTCTACCAGTAAGTGTAATTTTGAGAAATGGATAATTGTAGGATGTTTATTAGAGAACAATGTGAAACATGTAACACCATTAGCAGTTGAAGGCATAAAAACAATGAACAGTATAACCACAATAGTACTGTGAAAACTCCGTAGAAACTAATTGACTCTAATACTAATAATTGCACTGCAAGGTAAATAAGAAAGCTATCAAAAGTAGAATTAATGGGTTGGCTATGTAAATATGAGGGAAGGAGTTACCTCTGAATATGCATACAACGTTAGAGGTGGTTAACATAGAACAGCACAGAAAATTCTCTGGCACTGTTTTCTGGAGAAGAAACCTGGCATGGTAACTAACTGACCATCTCTTGTGTGCATGGGTGAGCTCTGTGGTACAGTGCAGGTAAAGAAAATGTTTTTTTCATTTGTCTCTGTTTTCTTTGTTAGATGCTAGCTATCTTTGCTTGGATTTCTGCAGATAATATTGTCAAAGTTGCTGGTTTTCTTGTGTGATTCAGCTCCTCTATGCAGGATCTGCTGCTGTGCTCTAGGTTCTCACAAAGAGGTCGAACCTCCATCATAAACCAGGCAGTACTGAATTCCAGAGTCGCTCAAGTAATGTAATTAGTGCAAGCTGCAGACTGATCTGCAGTTCTGATGGGAAAGAACGGGTTTGGAAATCAGATGAACACTGGGAACAGGTACTCGGAAACTCTTGAAAACTCTGTAGGGTGTAGAGGATGATGCTTCTGTCACTAGAGCAACTTAAAAAAAGTATGGGTTACAACCACATTTGAATTTGGTTTGTCTTCAGTGATCAAGCTCTTGACTATAGCCCTCAGAGAAATCATACGTATTCCTGTGTTTTACAAAAGTCTCAACCTAAGGTATAGTTTGGTTAAATTAAACCATTATGTAAATTATGCATTCATTGAGGTGTGAAAGGATCAGATATAAGATAATCTTATGTTACACCACATAAGACCACAAAATGCCTTTGCCTTCCAAGGCAGAGAAAGAAAAAGTTCGATGTTGTCAGCTCTTTATTGGATGTGTGTCTGACATTACTTTTCTGACATTCACATTGCTTCTAGAGGGGAGTAAAATTTTGTTACTATTTTAAATAAGAGGTTGTGCAACTTCCTACTTTGTTTTTACCATTTACTTTGACTAGTCTAGTTTGGAATATTTTAAGTCATGAGCTACTCTTTGTTCTGAAGAGCTTTTTTGTAAATCATAGTGTCAGAATATTTTCTGCAATCCAAAAATAAAAGCAGAATAGATAAGACTAATTTTCTTCCATAACAAGTTTTAGATTATAGTTTCTTGTGTGCATGTAATAGTTAAGTAATTATTATGTAAACCGGATTACTGAATTTGTAAGAAATTCACATAATGGCACAAGCATAGCTTTAAATTACTTCATGTACATTTTGAAATCAGTAGCAGAAAGCAGAACTATTACAGACCTCATTAGAATACTCAGCCATGAGTTTGGTGATCAGAACTATATTGCATACTTGATTTATTTCTTTTATTTTTGTGTCTTGAGCAATACTTAAACAAGATAAATACATTAGGGAAGAGATTTCCTAGCAATAATTTATATATATATATATGGACACATATACACACATACATGCATGCATTATATATATATGGATATCGATATCCATATATATATATCTCCATATATCAATATATCAAATGTAAAATGTATCTAAATAATATATATCATATATATATTGGGGGGGGAGAAGCTGTCCATTTTACTATGAGGTTTTAAAGATTTCAAATAAGATTTCTATTGCAAACCATGATTTTTGTCTGGACTTGAAGTTTATGTTCTAGCTTCCACTGTTCCTGTCAGTTCTTCGTAAGAATTACAAGGATTTTAGATAACTACATTAAAAAGATCGTACTTTCAGTTCTTTGATGAGCAAAGCCTTAAGAAAGATCTGATTATTTCTGTCAGTTGCATTACATGGTGCAGACTTGTATCAGCAGCTGCTAGTGAGGAAAATACTCTCAACCACTTTTGTTTTTTCTGCTTATGTGGCATCTTCATCGCAGTATCTGTTACTTCCTCTTGTAAACTGTGTGGGTCTGATTCTAGTGCTGATTTATTGTTAGACTTTTCTGTGTCAACCTGTGTGAAGGTGCCT